GGAAACATTTCCTACTGTTTTTTTTCTCCAGGGTTGGGAATGTGTACCAAGATGGAGGCAAAATTTCAGCTAAAAGAAAACGCTCAGGCGTTATTCAAAAAGAAAAGGAATGTGCTGTTTGCCTCAATTGAACAGATAGATAAAGAATTGGACAGATTAAAGAAAACCAGTGTACTTAAAAATAGTTGAATATAGTGAATGGGCCACACCAACAGTATACATGAAAAAAAAAGCCCAGAAAGTAAAGATGAAGCCAACATTGAGAAAAACTGGGGAGCGAGTTACTTGCAACCAAGGACATGCAGTATTATTAAATGATTTAAGTCAACTGAAGTCACCACAGAAAATGTTAAGAAGCACAAGATCAACAAAAGGGAAGCTAGAGGCTGAACAAATAGAACACAAGAAAACCTACAGAAACTGTGACCCCATCCTTAAGAAGGTCAAAGCGGAAGGTTGTTTCTGGTAACACTATGGAGGTACCAAAAAATAGAAAAGCGGATTGGCAATATGATGTACTTGGTGAAAAGAAAAAATTCATGTGCAGTAACCAGATCAGATGACGTTCTTCAGACATGGTTGACAGCGGTCCCGCTGGAAGAAACACAGATGGAGGTGATTTTCGATACGTTTGATCTAACAATGCCTGCAACAATTTTACCTGAGGTATGCCAATCCAGGAGAAAAAGAAAGGCAACTGATCATTTAAAAGTGGATTCAAAACATAGGAGATACGCTACGATGTTGCTAAAAAAAAAAAAAATTTTTTTTTTTTTTTTTTTTTTTTCTTCATATTTCCTGTAAAAATAAATAAATAAAACTGTTTACTCCTTCAGAGTAAAGTTTTAGGAGAGGTGTTATGGTGAAACACACCTATTCTATAGTTAATAGACTCTCCCACCTAATATAAGTAGGAGTAGTAATAGAAACAGGAGTCGGTCAGTCGATGTCAGACGACAGTTATTGAATACAAAAATATCAGCAACCACAACAAGATTACTCTCGTAATACCTATTATATCAAGTTCCTAACGTTTTGTACGTCGAAACCTATTTTAGGACCGACTTTAGTACAAATACAAGCCTCCACTGTGAAATCACTCCACAACAGCTATAGAAAAACCTGTTAGCATAGAACTTATGTTTACATCTAGCTATTTCAGCTGTGAAAATGATGAGACCTAGCTGCCAATTTAGTTTTGCACTTAAATTCATAAAGTCTTGGTACCATATAGGAAAGTAATACCTATTTTCATTGAATACAAAAATATATACAAATAAAGAAAGGGATGGGGAAGGGTGATCTTCATTTGTCTTATAAAAATCTTAGCTCACCACAATCACTGGTTGACCCAAACATATTACACTATTAGATTACGCCTAAAACGACACATTCTTACCATAGCCACCAATTCATACATTAGAGTTCTCTAAAATAAGGTCCTAATTAGTCCCCATATTTTCAATTTGTTTATATAAATATCAATTTAAAATGTATATACAATGAACAAATCCTTTACAATGTATAAATGACTATTTACAAGAAACTAAAACAAAATAGTGTTACCTTAGAGGAAAGTTCCTCAGAACAGTTACCATGAAAATATTTATAGAAAAGACAGAGGGAAGCATTTATTTTATGGTGATTGAATTTTAACTAAAAAGTCGAGATGCTAAGTTAGGACCAATATCATTGCAGATTCTTTTTTTCTTTGATGATTTTATCAAGAATCTCTAAATATATTGCAGATGTCTTCAGGTTTTTTAATCACTGCCCAATGCTTTTACTACTAATCCATCATACCATTTTTTTAAAGAACAATTTTGATTGATCAGAAAATATATTTTGTTATTTTATTGCAAGATTTTGTTTGCTACTGAAAAGTAATTTCTGGATGCTTATGATTGAATGAAAGCAAAATGTTTATTTCTGACTTAATTTTTGATGAGTTGTCACAGTCATTATAGAAACATGCAATCACCTCCAAAAAACAAAGTACAAAACAAGCAAACAAAAAAAGACAGATATGAATTAATCAAGCTTACAGATATTGCAATCGATACATATCTTTAAATGCTCCTTGTTGAATGATCATTATTTCATTGGATGCCAGAATTCTGAAATCAAAAAAAAATCAAAGAAATTAAATCATTTTGATTCTGAGTTAAAGACAAATCCACCAGCATAACAAATATATAGCATCATAATAATAAATTAATGTTATTATTTACATTATTTATATGCAAACTATTGTTTCCATCTTTGTTGTTGTTATCACAATGGTTCAGCCGTTGTGCACTCTGAACCTTCATCAGGTGTATATTGCCCTGCATAACCTATAGAACTGAACCCTTTATTTAATCTATGGATGTAGATTGTTTTCAGTCCACTAACCATGACTAGTGATATCTCGTCTAGTTCTTATTTTTTAGTACTGCTCAATTATTGCCTGGCCAGTTACCACTGAGTTCAAATACACACTGCCCAGTCCAGGAATTGAACTCACACTTACTATGTCACCAAATTATTATTATTATTATCTAGTAAAAAACAACTGTACTTTTCGTTCCCTCACATGTTTGCACTTCTCTCCAAAATTTGGCTATTTTAGAGGGTGTAATAGATGGACAGACTAACAGAAGTCATAAAATTTTATATATAGATTGAATGTAAATTAAATAAGATTTAAAAAGTAGCATTGATTTAATAAATTTTTAATGTTGTGGTCAAAACCTCTACAAGTTTAATGGGAATCTTTCATTAATGTTTTTGTTTTAAATTCAAAAATATTTCTAAATGGGAATCATAATTTTTTTTTTTTTTTTTTTTCTTTCCTCTATTCATTTGTTTCATTAATCTAAAAACATTCTCTTTTTGCAGTGATTAGATTAAGTCACTGTATTTCACTAGTGATATTATATAACTTATGACTCATGAATTAAATTTTTCTGTGGCATCATTAAATATGCAAGTATGTGCTGATGCATTAAAGATAGTAAATTTTATCTCCCTTGCATGAAATACTGCTGCCATATGTGGTCTGGAGCCTCCACTGTTTGTATCAAGGTCCTCGACAAAATCCAGAGACCAGTTACTTTTGCTGGTTCCCAAACTGCATGAATTTAAAGATAAATCTGTTTAGGTTGGCATCTCATTCCCACCCTTTCACTGTTGAAACTGTTAAATGTAGCCATCTCTTCTACTCCAATAGCTTCATGTCTCAGTTATTTCCCATGTGTGGAACTCCTTCCTATTACTTGCTTCCCTGATAGCTATAATCTTCAATTATTCAAATGCAATGTCAATCAACATGCCTTGATCTAATAGCCCCATCATTCTCTTTTAATTTTCCTCTTGCTCCCACTCTCTGTAACCATTTCCATTGTTTTAGTGGCACTCCCACCTTGCTTGGGGTGAAATGCTTTAAAAAAAAAGTTTCAATCATCATTTGGCAATGGATATTTGTTTTAAACTTGTTTCAGGTCGTGCATCTGGATGTGAGGATCCCAACTCTCTCAATGAGACAATGAAAAAGAGACATCAGAGTGAATAAAGATACAAAGCAAAAGTCATGTGCAGTTTTCTTTCCATTGGATTACACAACAAAGCCCTTAAAAATATAATCTGAATAATAAATTGTGAACTTACCCAAATTTTCTGGTAACCAAAATAAGCAATATAGAAGACTTTTGATTTCTCTTCCATATCATCCTTTTTTTTCTCTCTATAATTTCCACTCTCCTCTTTTACCTCTCCAGTCATTCTTCTATTCTTTCTAATAGGTTTTTTTTTTTTTTTTTTTTTACTCTCATTCAAGACATCATTCTTCTAAACACTTATTTTCTATCTCTCCCTCCACCTTGATATCTTCCTCACTTCTCTCTCCCCTTATATTTTTTTTTTTTTTTTTCAGTTGATGTCCACTATGTTTTTCCTCTTTTGTTTCATTTATTTTTTTTTTTTTTTTTTTTTTTTTGGCCACAAAAATGAGTCTTCATTTAGATTTAGAAAATTGGATCTCCTCTAGTGACTTCAGTGCTATAGTCTGGCAAATGATATTTTCTTTTTTTTGTTGTTGCTGTTCTAAAAAAAAGGGAAACAGAAATGAAAATATTTAGGATTTAAATACAAAAAAAAAAAATGTTCAAACTGACATTGTCTATGTAAATTATTATTCTGCAATATTCTTATTTTTTTTTTTTTTGCCCAAATTTCTGCTTAATAACCTTCCACAAACAAACACCCAAAGACCCCTGATCCAATGATTAATTTGATTTTGACAGTTGCAACCACTGGTTTCTGGAAAGAAAGTTCAGCTATCAACTCTGGAACAGTTTTCCTCCTATCTTGTTTGCTCTCAATAATCAAGTGTTTATCTTCCGCAGCACTTGTTATTTTTGGTGCTCCAGTTCTTTTTCTGTCAACACTTACACCAGTTTATAACTGTCTTTGTAGCAAATATTTTTATTTTTTGATAGTAGCCTTTTGAATCAAATTTCAATTTGTGCCCTCATCTCAATGGCACACTCAAAACAGCATTAACTGCTTTGAGTTTGTCATTCTATTCAAAATACTACAAAATTAAAAATAGAAAAATCTATGAAAATACTGTCGTAATGATAGTCTTTTTTTTTCTTCACAGACAACTATATATGTTTTGTTTACAAGATTAATCACTGTTGAGATATCATTTAGAACTTGTATTAACATTTAACTTAATTGAAAATTTTGGTAATCTCAAAAAGTCTGAGTTACTGGTGAAAACAAAATATAATGTTTCTCATACAAAATATTCATAATTTAGCAAAATGTATTGTGGACAGACAAATCTAAGTTTGAACATTTGGTAGTGAGAGTAACCTGAAGAAAGACTGAAAAATAAAAGCAAATACACTGTAGTAAACAAAACGAGAAAAGCCTTTTATGTCCATTGCTAATAAAAATAAAGGAAAATGTATGATTTTTTTGGTTTATTTCTGACTGTAACTATATTTGTACAGGGTCGACGTCTGCTTGTAATTGGTACAACAGGCCTGAAAGATGTGCTTCATGAAATGGGTATGTTGAATACTTTCATGCAGAACCAACACGTGGCTGTCCTCAGCAAACAGGAACACCTTTTAACTGCACTCAATGAACTTGAGATTTTCAACACTAATGAAATGAGGAGAATCAAGGATAGCACTAGAAATATGAGGTTTGTAACTAAACATTTTTCTCAACATTTTCATTATTTATTCGTATTGAGCACTTTCCAATAAGTACCGCGCATTTATAATATATAAATATTATTATATAATAAATTGCATATATATATATATATATATATATATATATATATATATATATATATATATATACATGCATACACATTTCGCTCCTCGACAGGTTGAGCACTCATGCTGTTCTTTTTAAAGAAATAGATAAATTTAACCTAGGATACTCACTGAAAAACATCCCTATACCCACCCAAGCTTCGTATAAACTAATAGAGAAAATCAAAAGTCTCATAAGGAGGATGAGATGGAAGGCATACTTCTTCCTCAACGACCCAAAAAATACAAAAAAATGCCTACTTTGCCTACATGAAAAGGTAGCAATAATTTCTCATACCCAACAAAAGAATTTACTAAACTAAAGAATTTACGAAATAATTTCCAAATGTAGGCATGAAAATAAATACCTATTATCAGAATTTATACCAAACAGATAAAAAAAAAAAAGACACCACTACATAAACCAACATTGACCCTATAAACATGAAAAGAGAAACCACTGACACCATAAGGCCATCAATTATTTTCTAGTTCAAACTACCATCATAATGATTGCAATTATTGTTATTATCATTCCACTACCATTACTAATCACTTCTACCACTTCACAATAACTATTTGCTACTACAATTGTTATTATCATCACCCGCTCCCCCCCACTACCACCATTACTACAACATCACAATTACCATTAACGTATCAGCCCACAATTATAATTACTTCTCTCTCCCCCAGCAAAATTAATACCACCGCATAAATACTAAGTGTTACAAATTGGAATTTCTACCATTTACATATACACAATTACCAGAAACAAGCAAATAACCGGCTTTAAAATAACAAAACAGCCTTTAAAAAAATTAAAAATAATAGCAATTTTTACCTATCATAGTCTTACACAGACCCCATCATACATATATATGTGCATTCAAGAAAATATTATTCACTGAACAAAAATAGAAAAATGGTTTGCAAGTTGACAGTGCAACAATCAAAAAAATATTCGCTACACAATCCAACATTGAATACAGCAACCAAATGTGTATGTATGTACATGACGACACATATATATGTATATGTAACAAGTCCCATATATCTTTTCTATTTTCTTTCTGTCTCTGAAAAACTAATGGCATAAATATTTGTTTTATCCTAATTAAAATGAGGTTACTATTTTAAAACTTGGATTTCAAATTTAAACTACAAATTCTGTGGATCCAATTTTTACCTCCAAATGCAAGGCTAACCAACAAAACACATTTTATGTTCTTCTGTTATTCTCTTTCTACATTTGGTTATCTTGTCACACCAGCTTTGCATATCTGCTAATCAGAAGTCTATTTTCCCAATTATTGTTTATAACTATTTTTCTTTTTTTTTTTTAATAAAGGATTTAATGAGTTATAAATAGCAAAATTGTTTAATTTTTGATTTATCTTACAATATTGTGATGCAATGGACCCCAGACATGGCTTAAAACATCCACAAAGTAACATGTACTGTGAATGATTTTATCTGGGCCAGGTTTTATGACTGCATAGACAATGAATAAATGAAAGAAAATTTTCAGTATCAAGTGTCATTGGCCAGAAGTTAGAAAGTTGTAACTGCAAGACTTGTATAATCAGTCACAAAATTGTCATGATGTACAGATGGGCAGAGGAGAGAGAATTCTCACTGGCTAAAAGTTAAGATCTACTCTGGCAAAGTTGTCCCAAATGTCATCCATTTATATCTTCTGACCATGTCAGCTGAATTTGTGAATAAATAACCAAATATATTGGAAACATTATTCTTCTTGCTATGGTGAAGTTTTCGCCTTTCACTACCTTGTGTGTATATGCCAAAACTTTCCCAGTTTTGGTGTACACCATCAGATTTGTGTATTAAAACACAAGGTGATTTATCCAGTTGGTGAAGAGCTGAGCAAAGGCTATAGATGTATGTTCACAATATTATACAAAGAATAATAATTATTTTTTATGCCTAAATACCAAAATGGAACTTGATGTATCAAATTAGATAGGAATACTTTTTATGAGTTATAATGGATTCTAACCAACAAATTTCCAACTTTCAACAAATTATAATTTTCAAAAAATTATTATTTTTTTTTTTTTTTTTTTTTTTTTTTTAAGTAACGGATAAAAATGAACAAAAAAAGATTTTGTTATATTGTTAAAATATGACTGCTGTCACTTTATCCATAAGTAGATTCTTTGTCTAAATTTAATGAGATGAAACTTATTAAAATTTCATAATCCATATTTAATAGAAATATTTTTTTAAGAATCTATTTCTTCTAGTAGCCATTTTCTGTTTGGATCAGTTTGAACATTTTTACCATCTACTTAGAAATATGTCCCTTATTTTCATTTTTTTCTCTTCTTTCCAGTTTTCGTATTGGTATTAAGAAGTTACTAATGCTGGCAGAATTTGTGCGACAAGTAAGTCAAAAAGAAAATATTCAGTATATCATCATTTTTCTTGTTACTTCATCAAATCTTTACTTTTTCCTCTTCATCACTTCTAATGCTAGTTACTTGATGGAATAACTTATGTTTTTAATTGTGAATCTTTTCTTCTTTTTTTTTTTTTTTTTTTACTCCAGGTAGACCAGAAAGAACGAGTAGATCAATTCTTGTACCGTATGCAGGATGAAGGATGCATGTTTGCTGATGATATGTAAAAGAAATCATTTTACTACTGTTGTTGTTGTTGTTTTTTATATATTTAAGGAAAAAAATTCACTCATTGTCTTCTCATCTATATTATTTGGATGAGTTTTTTTTCTCTTTTACAATCTTTTACAACAAAATAGTTTATTTTGTGAACATATTGCCCTCTTGTCTAAGAAGATCTGATATCTACATTACTTGGTGCAGCAGAATCCTTACTCTTTGGGTAGAAGTAAATACTCTCTGTTCAATTCCTCCTTTAACATTTTATTTCAGCTCAGTCTAAACATGTATTGACAGCTCACTAAATAGTTAAGTCTGACTTCTGGATATAGTTTTGAATAAAAACATTACTTACCCTCCTTATCCTAACTAGAAATGTTCAATTATCACATTTTAAATATTGGCTAAACTTGCTTTGATAGAATGTAACACAAATTACATAAAATATAGAATTGAGGAAAGAAAATCTATCCCAAATGATTGAATGTCTATAATGTTATCTTCCTTTTTATTACTTCTATTTTTACATTTACTACCTGATATTCATTTTGCTTACATATTCTATAATCATAATCAGATGATATAGTGTGTTGTGGCCAACCTAATCAGCAGAGTTATCAACTGATGATCAGTGAACATACTGAGAAACCTTTAAAAACAGAAATGGTAAAAAGAGTTGAGAATGACAGTCTAGTTCTATGCTCATCAACATCATCATGAACACTTTGCCTTAAACCTGAATACTTACTTCAGATTATGAAATAACTTGTACAGAGTTATTTAAAGTTGCGGTATGTCAAATCTTCAGTAAGAATACTGAAAATAAAATTTTGGGGTTATATTAAGAATTATATAATAAAAGTAAAAAAAAAAAAGCTTAGGCATATTTTGGATTATAAGGATGAAAAGGAGTTTATATGTTTCCTCCTAATTCATGAGTTTCAATTATTGTCTCTTATTTTTTCTACAATCAAGTAAATCACTTTGCTTTTATTATATCATGGTGCTAATCACTTTTGGGGTTTTTTCCACACAGTTATAGTTGCCTAATGTCACTAAAAGCTTTATTAAAAAAAAAGTTTAATTAACTTTGATACCAATTTTCAGCTACAGTAAATGAGATAGTTACTTTGTGGACATGACTAACTGAAAAATGAAATAGTAAAAACAATTCTCACAAACAACTTGGGCTTCTATACAAAGCTGATAAGTCTTCTTAATTTTGTTTTGAATTATGTAAGCACTGATTAGCTGCTAACCGAAGTTTTAACTGAATCAAAGATATAAACAAAAAAAGCCTTTTGTGTGTGTGTGTGTGTGTGTATATATTTGATTCTGTAAATAGGATCAGACAGCAATTGAAAAAACAAAAGCTTCCTATTTAGTAAACATTTCCAAAAACATATTTCAAAGAAATCCAGAAATCAACTACATAGTAAAGGAATAACAGTAACATTATCATTTGTCTTCATTCCTTTTGCTAATCATATGTGAATATATATACATTATTAGTTGACATTCTCTCTTTCTCTCTCTCATATATATATATATATATATATATATATATGATATTGTTTGATACTTGATATAACAGTAATAGAAATTCATGATCTATCTAATCTTTTCCATAGTGGAGGACTCAATAATCTCATCCAAAACAAATTACTCATTCTCTTCCATTTAATGGGATTTGGCACATCCCAAATAACACTTATCTACAGGGAGAATTCTATCACTATTGAAGTAAACATTCACTTGAATTCTGAATTTATGGTCTGGTGGTAATGTATTGAATTCTTCAAGTGGCTGATCCAGAACTTATGGTTTAAATGTTGAATGCATGAATTATAAATTGAAGAAAAATGAATGTTAAATAGGAAAAAAGTATATTTGGACTCTATTTATTATTTAATAGTAATTCTGAATTCCTCTAAGGCTATTTTAATTTTTATTCTAGACAAGTTCACATATTGATAGTTTCCCAAAATCTTATATTTACCTCTCAGATTGATACATTAAAGAGAGAACAGAAAAAATGACAACGAATTCCAGATACAAGAATGCTAGTGTCATCCAGTTGTTCTTGTTGGATCTTCTCAAAGGGCTGTTACAAAATAAGACAATTCTTTCCAGTAAATTTTGACACTCTTACTGATTTGCTAGTGATGTATATGGTCTAAATTGTTCAGTGTGGATTGAAACTGTAACTTTTTTCTCATCGATCAACTTCTAATCTCCTCTTACTATTATGCTTTATCCCTGTTCAAAACTATCCTGTAGCTAGCATGTTGCTAAATATCTGTTTGTTAGTGAATGTATGATCAGCAGAGATGTTTTTAGGCTAATGAACCATAACCTGAATCAACTTTACCAAAAGAAAAAAAAAATCTGCTTTGTTGTAGTGATCAGTCTATCAAGTTGACAGTATTTCATGTTTATTGTAGCCACTTCTTCACCAGCTGTTCCTTTTTGCCCTCTATTCACAGTTATCATTACATAATGCTAAATAAAATCAGTCAATCTATCCAAGGAGAAGTTGATTTTATTAATGATATTTCTATTAATTGTTACTAGCTTCTTTATCTTTGTTTTCTTTTTCATTTTATTTATTCCTCATATTTATGATCAAAACACAGCCACTCAGAATAAAGAAAATAACTTCAAACAAAATTAAAATTCTCACCCAATAATTCAACAACTAATCTTTCATGGACACTATCTTAACTAATTTTTACTAAAGAGTTTGTATAATCAGATATAAACATAATAAAACAGCAATAAAAAAAAAATTAAATTAATAAGAAAAATTGTGTAATAATGAAAGTACTTTATTTTTCTCCTAAATTTGTAAGCCTATATTCTGTATTAGCAAATGCATGTATATGAACTCACAGTTGCTGTACATAATTTGGGAGAAAAAAAACATCATATTTTATCTTTCAATATTTTATTTTATTCTTTTAGCACTTCAATGACAAGGCGGTTTTCAGTTGTCAGCTAAAACTCCACTGCCTTTTCTGCTTCTAGATAATTTTGCATCTACAAAAGATAAATTTTAAAACGGTGATATGCAAACATCTTTTTCACAAAATTTGCTAATTGTCTGATACAGTATTGTTTTTGTTTAAATAGAAGCCTATATTTCAATTTCTTAACGCTAATTGCAAATGGTATACATATTGTAAGCTTCTGTTCAGTATGAAAATATAATTATTCTATTGCTTATAGCAATAGCAAATGGGGAAACAAATCTAATGTTACCAAATGCAAATTATGTTGTAATTTTAATCATTTAGTTTTTGAAGTGTTTTTCAAAAATTCAGTGAAGTAATTTGAATTTTTAAGATTATAAAGTGAAACTGTTTGCAAAGGTAAAATTATAGAATTACTCTTTTTCTGAAAATGTATGAAACTAGAATATTCAACTTTTTGTTGTTTGTCACGTTTATTAACTTGTGCTTTTTTCTTCTTTTTTTTTTTTTTTAAACATTTCTTTATTTTATATTTTACTATTGATAGTTGTTTAAATTATTATTTGAATGTCAGGTAAATTATTATTGATATTAAATGGGGAGTGGGGAAACTTAGCTGCTGATTTTCCATAGCTCATTAAACAGTCACTATTTCTTCATACATTCATCAGTTTATAGTTTCCTTCCATTTTCCTGAAATAACCATTACATAACCATAGTGACTTCTATAAAGTCATCTTCTCAACTTGATGGACATGTTTATATTGAGGACCTGGAGACAAAAACTATTCCATACAATATTGTTCAACAGACTATCTAAAGACTTATTGCATGACTATTTACTTTTACATTGGTGGTGGGGGGGTCTTTATTTCTCACCTTCACAAAATCCTGTAATTTTGATAATTAATAGTGTCTGTTTTGTGTCTTGTTATCCTTGTGTATTTGAACAGTAAGATTTAAACCAAAGAAAATAAAGGACATTAAACATTCCATTTAAAGAAATCATGTCTGTTTACAGCTGTTTCTTTTTTCTTTCTTTTTTCTATTAAGTAATAATATAATCAGACCAGTTTGCAAATATTAATAACTAGGAGTCTATTGTCTTCTATCTACATTCCACAGAGAATCAGATTCAGAATATTTTCTCAGCTTTTTGTTGTTTTTCACAATTTTTGTCTTCTAAATAATGCATCTGATCACCTGAAAAATTGAAAAAGCCAATCACCTGAAATTGATCAAGGAATATAACAAACCAAGACTAAAAGTAATATTATGGCTAAATAAAATTGTAAATATAAACCAGATATTTTTTCTATGTAAAATTATTTAAATCTGCATAACACTTCATTAATTGCACACTGATTTATATGCCTATGCTTTTAATACTAATTTATGTATTTTACATTTACTCATACTTTTCTCTTCCCTTTCCTTCAATTACCCCCTTTTCAGTCTCTTCAAAATAACATTAGTTTATTGTGTAGAAACTTTACTTATGTAAATTAAAAGATTAAAAACAGTAAATTTCTAATTATAGCAAAATCACAACAATTTTAAAATAATGTCAAAGTAACAAAAGTGAGCTTTATTCAAATTTCGTTAATTCAGTATTAATATATTTTCAAAATTATTTTGCTTAATTTGCTCATTAAAGTTCTCCTTGGATGCACTCTGGTTGTGGAATAATAAAAAATGATATATCTAACTAATAAAATATACAGTACAACACGAGCTACATCATTATGACTACCATATGTTGGTCATAATTACTATGCAAATTATTCTGCAAATTTATATCGGTTTATTTTCTTGATAAATGCAAAATCTCACATCTATAAACAAATTACTTCTGTATATGCAAAATAAAGTCTAAAATTTTTGCTATGTTTGTCAGTACTCACCTTATTGAAGTCATTGTCTCTTATCAGTGGAATGGTAACATTAAAATGATATTTTTGGCATAAACATACAAAAAAAAATGTTAATGTCAAAAAGAAGATATTAACTTAAGTCAACTTTGCATTCTAGTATCA